TATCTAGTTACCCCGAATGTACTTACCGTCCTTCATGAAAAATGTTTCAAATACACTTAATGGATTATAACTGCAGAGATTCCTTCATTGAATTGCAATACCAAGTTAACCACAGAACTAAGTATAATCTACAACGGTTTTAGCTATAAGAATAAAAAAACAGCATCAATAACATCGAATTCATAACGAAAACAGAGAACGATAATCAACTGGCATTTTTGTACACCTTGATCACCAGATCGCCATCAGAAAACCTGGAGATAACGGTCTACCGCAAAACAACGCATACGGAACGAATCCCATACTTCAAAAGTAACCATCCGCACAGCAGAGGCTGTGCTAGGACCATGTTCGGAGGAATCCAAACGCACTGCAACATCGACGCACTCAAAAAGACATTCCTTTGGAGTATTCGCTCGCAACGACCATAGCCGTAATTTCATCAAAATAACCACGACCCAAAGAAGAAACAAGCAAAAAAGGCGAATCAGGAACAATAGCTATTCTACAGCACATCAAAGTCGTTTCCGAAATGCCTTCAAGACTGTTCAGAACATGAAGAATACAAGTTACCCTTAAATCGACTACCTGTCTACAGAGAATTCTAACAAAAACAAAGGAGAGAAGAACACCAAAAGACAAGAGCTATGTTATCTACAAAACAAACTGCTTGGACTGTCCAGTACATCACATTGGGTAAACTCTGTAAAAACTATCAAAACATGTCCGTCAACATCAATTGGCAGTCAGGCAACATAATCAGACTCTCAATAACTTCCCTCTATGAAGATCAAGATGCACATCAATTTGATTTAGAATAAGTGAAAATCATCTAAGGGGTCAACCCCGATTTTCATTCACCCGTTTACACAGCTGCGTTAGTTCGACAGAGCCACCGATTAACTTGATTTCGCTTCCATTAACGAAACGAAACTTGGCCGCAAATCTGGCTATGGCTTTTATGATCACTTTCACGAAATGATCAAATTCAAGTGCCACATAGAATGACAGAAGCAAACCTATGCAGATCACAAAGCCGTATTTTTAGCAAAATCATAAAACGTTGTTAGCTTCTTCTCTGCGTTAGAAATCAAGAGACATGCTGTTTAAATCAGTATGCAAGAACTGTGAGTATTAGACAAGGTGAACGGCTTAAATTAATATTTTACCATTTCAAGATTGATTTGAGAATCCATCACTTTGAACTGAGAAAGAAACACTATGATTGGATCCGCTTCCATTCAGTGCACCTGGTTGGTCAATTGATCACACGTTTTATCGCTCCCAGATTAATAACCTGTCTTCCCGAGTTTTTTTGGTGGTGAATTGAGACAGATCTCTGTCGTGCATGCTATCGAGCTCACTGACGGACGTTGATTCGGTGGGTAGGTGAAGCCGTGCAATTTTCACGAGACAGCTAAGTTAGACCCCGCTCGATAGGCACGAAGGGTGACGCACTGATTCGTGCACGCTTCAGCTAAGACAGCTGATCGTAGTTGCTCAGACATTGACGATAATTCGGTTACGCAGGTTTACCACAGTATCCACGAGGAAGGATCCTTAAGGTGCACTGCGAGTGATGCACTTTTCATTACATTACATACGCAGATCTGGGGTCTATTCGAATAATAAAACTTGTTCAGGCTTAGTTATTGAGATGATCTTCGGCGACTGGGCTGTTTTTCATTAATGATCTAGCAAACACAACTAATTATGCCTTAACTGCAACTCGCCCATTCCCGGCTCAGTAACCATTGTAACGGAACGAAAAGGAGCGCAGTCAATTCATTTCATTGAAAAGTTAAGTTCGAAGTTAAAAATAGGTACCCATTGCCAGGCGACGTATTGCTGCATAAAAGACATCCACAAACTACACAACATTACAGTGAACATTTTTTCACAATCTCGCTGTTAGGAAGCAGCTTGACAGAACAAGCAATGATCACTGTGGGACCAAAAGAATGAACTGTAGTAAACTTGTGGCAGAAATACAGGATAATTCGACGGAAATGAACATTAGACCTTTCTATATTGGATTTATTTACAAAGGCAGTTACAGTCTGTCTAGTAGACTAGCTGATAAATGTGGCGGGATGTACGCATCACTCTAATACCTAAGAAAGACAAACGGAAGTTTCGGTCAGTATTACTTAAAACTTTTGAGTGAATTATTATTAAGACTCATTCGTCTTCCGTTAATCTCTGTGAAAACAATCCGTTTGTCTGTTTTAAGCGTCTTTATAATATGCGGTTGTACATTCCGTCGACTAAAAACACACGTTTGCTTTTTTACCATACAAACACTTTTAACTTAGTTGACAGAAACGCTCTATTGACATCGTTACAGCAAGGAAAACTCCCGACACATCTGGTTAATTAGATGCCGGACTTTCATCAACCCTCTCATTTCTGAATGGTATGATGTAGTTATCCTTTCTTGAAGTTTGGTATTTTTACCAACCATAACACCATAACACACGTTTCGTATCACATGTTTCCAAAATTTTGTTTAACATCTCAACTCTCAATTCCTACTCAGAACAGAAAACTTTTCAATTTTTGAAAACAGAATTTCTCATTAATTTTCATAGCAGTCATTACTTTATGATGGTATCTTTATGCCACACACGTCGATATAGCTACCCGATATGGGATCTTCATCGTTTCTCAGCTGTTTTGTATCCACGAATACCGGAGGACTGCAACGAGACGTTTATTCTCTGAAAAAGGCAACTATCTCTTTATGATCTTAATCCACCCCTGTTAATCCTAACGGACGGAAAAAAGGAACACGCACTTGAGCTCTTATACGCGGTTGCAAGTAGCTAAACAATTAAGTGAGTACTCAGGGAAGTGAGTAAGTAAGGAACTGGAGGGTATTCGAAAACTGTATCACTGAGTGCTCAAGGTCAACTGAGATCCTTTTTTAGTGTTTAAGAACATATGTAAAATGTCGTATGAACCTAGCGCAATAAGCATCGGAGATCGACACGTCGCTTTCACGACTGATTGTTCCAATAACTACCTTCGCCATTACACATGACTGATTACCCCTTCAGGATCCTCTCGAAGGAGGCTAGGATAGGTACCTGTGAGATCCCTCGTGATTGTGCAATTTATCATGCTCCATACATGTTCAATAAGGGATATGGTGGCATCCTCAGCGGCTTTGCTTTACAATATGTGCTCTCAGTGGTCTTGTAATTCACACCTTTGTTTCTCACAAACATACGCAAATCCTGTCCCTCCTTGAAAACCAGAACGACTCGCTTGCGCACTCCGTTGTCAGCATCGTTGTACCACTAGCCTTGCTTTCACTGTAGGGCACACGAATCAGTGCGTCACCCTTCGTGCCTATCGAGCGGGGTCTAACTTAGCTGTCTCGTGAAAATTGCACGGCTTCACCTACCCACCGAATCAACGTCCGTCAGTGAGCTCGATAGCATGCACGACAGAGATCTGTCTCAATTCACCACCAAAAAAACTCGGGAAGACAGGTTATTAATCTGGGAGCGATAAAACGTGTGATCAATTGACTAACCAGGTACACTTAATGGAAGCGGATTCAGTCATATCGTTTATTTCCATCTTGTAGTTGATTTCCTACAGCCAACTTTGAAATAACACATAAGCCATCTATGCGTTTTTTTAAAGGATCATAACTGCGGGGAAGGCATTTTCCGTCTATAACACGGAGATATCGTGGAATTTGAAATTTTTCTCTAGGTTTACTTCTCTCATGCTCCAACAAAGCAGTAGCATGATATGACCCTTTCATTGGAATTATTGGCTCCAAAACCTGTTCGTCCTTAAGATATCTTGTTGTTTTATTATAAAGCTCTTTTATCTGCGTTAAAAATATCACAATCAGCGTAACCATGGATCAATTGCTGTAACCCTCTCGAAACTGTTGCGGTACATCACGTGGTAAACATTTCTGACAAACCTAAAAAATAATGTACGAGTGGTTGCCTGTCTCTTACTTTGTAGGAATACATACCACATTTATCTTTCCAAGAACAAAACTAACCTTGGAAGCCTCTAAGTCACGCTCTATGTGCTTGCTGCATTTCCTTCTTACAAATAAGGTTCTCCTACTTGGGGAACTCACCGTGCTCTCGGAGCAGTAAACTGCTTCAAGGTTGCCTCATTAGCTACCTTGAACGTTTTGCTGGTTTTCAGGTGAAATCATTTCTGATCCAGTTCCATGTTTGCGATACACTTGGTGAAAGCCACTGATTGAATACGAGGCTGTATGTTGGTTGGTAAACGGCCAACCGGTACATGTGCCAACTACCAAATGAATAAGTATCAGTAAGTACGACATATTAGGGGGAGGCATTACATAGTTAGGACCTACGTTATTATATGTCAGCTTGTTTTGTGATTGCCAAAAAGTGAGATCACTCTGGAAACTGCGACTACATATGGGTGTGGCACAGAAGGAGATTGATCGTAAATAAAAAAATTGCACAATAACGGCTTGATCCAGGCTCTGCGACCGGTGTCTAAGCATTTTCTTACGCGAGGAATCGCCTAATGAAGTTGACTGAAACTGACTCGCCTTTCCTACTTGTGTTATTTTGAAAGCTTTTCGTTCAATGCAACACATTTCTTTTGCAATTTTCGGGTGTTTGACTCCAAAGCTTGTGGAAAAATGTTAAAACTTTGAGAAACGGGGAAGTCATATTATTTTCTGCTTCCGCTATTCTATTCAAAAATGTTGTACTATGAATTAGTGACATTCAAAGATGATGATGCTGCAATTGGAACTGCAACAGAATTTGTTTTATTTTGCAAAATTCGATACAAACCATGATGGAAGGAAACATCAAACGTGGGGAAAATTAAAAATGAGAAATGTTTGACAAATGGTTTGCTTCTATGATTATGTATTTACTGTTATTTCAAAATTTATACGGAAGGGAACTGGTAAGACAGTGGGTATCTCAACTTCACTGCAACATACGTGTACTGGTCTATGGATCACAAATATATCTTCAATCAATCTCGTATCTCAGTAGGAAAGTGGAAATAGTGCTGGGTTTCAGCCTGACAATGATGTCATGCGTTGCACGCGTACGGAAGGCGTTCGCAGAATATGGTCGCCAAGATACTGGCTCCGTGGGCCAACGCAATCTCTTATGTAATGCAACCAATCTATCTTGATCGGCTGTCAACGTGACTTCACGCGCATCGGTAATGCGAATCCCTCGGAACAAAGAGGTTAAAACTAAATCTTCATCTCCTGACGTGCCCGCTGATCCCAAATGTTCCAATCGCAACAACAATTGGTCTGGTTCCGTTGGATCTGCAGTGGCTCGTGTCAGTGGCCAAGCAATCATACTGAGCAGGTGAATATGTGGCGGCAGCTCCTTGTTCAGCGCACTCCATTGTAAAGTGTCTTGTTTGTTCGGCGGTCTGATTGCCGGTGCAACAATCACTTTTGGTGGTCTGACGAGCTTACTGGCGAGTTGTTGATCTTCCCGTTCGATAACATGCAACTCATCCAGACGAAGTCGATGAGTTCCACGTGCAATCAATCCTAAAACAAAGAAAATCGCAATTGAGTAATTGTAACGTTGCGCGCATTCATCACTAATAGCTAATGATAATCTATTAGATTTTAAAACTAGTTTATTCAAATGAAATTTTTACAACTCTAATTATTTTTTAAACGGGATAACTTCTCTGCCTTTAAGTAGCATATTGACTAGTTATGAGAACATCTTTGCAGTAATATTCCTGCAAGTTGAAATGTGTCTTGCGGAACCAAATGAAGTGTAATAATTAAAACGAAAGATGTTTTGAATGATCGATGCTTTCGCGTTAATAGTGATCCTTACAGAAATGCTAATGTTGAGATGCTTCTTAGGAAACCTCGGTCGCTTGTTCCACTCAAATGAGATTGACGTCGATACTTCTCTTATTACATATGTAATTCTATAGTTGATATAGTTTGACTACTGAAACGATTTTAGTAGCAAGATGATAAAGGAGAAAATCTCTGTTCGAGGTACAACGGTCCTTCAAGCATTTATTTCAAAGGACATTAACTTCTAACTATAAGGATAATTCGGTTGACGGTTTGCCCTTTACCGGAATAGCTCAGCCTACCAAATTTGGGGAGTTTATTTTTGTAAAAAAATATTGACAATATTCTTCCCTTTGATGATGCTAAGCAACAACTCACCTCGACGGTCAATTCCGTTTTCGATCAGTGCTTCGGCTACACCATATCCATCATCCTTTATCAGACGTCTATGAACCATGAGTTCAACCTCTCCGTCCCGGAGACTGGAACCGCCTTGTGCACGGTCTGTGTATACTGCGAATCCCATAGCCGGATTGTTCTGCTCCCAGTAATTAAGAGGATGCCTCACATCTCGTTGACTTCCTTTCAACATTATACGATTAATTACTGGGTAGTAGTTTCCGGCCACTGGTTGCGTCTCCTGATACCTGTAATTAATGTTCCAATCCGGACGTTCATTTCTTACTCGTCGAATCAATCGCCTTCCAGCGGAATCCGTGAAGAACTCACCTGATATTGCAGAAGGGTAGAATGAAGAGTGATGTGGCAAAATGACTGATGCGAATGATTTATAGAGCAGAAATTTCGAACAACTTTATCGGCCTTTTCTTGAACAGTAAAAGGCATTCGAATGAAAATTTTATTTTAATCACGGTGAAACGTATGTAAAAACGAATACAGTCGTTCATAAGATGATGAACCTCATGGACAAACCTTGAAAACATCGCATTATTCAATGTCTGTTAGGCCAAATTGTTCTGTCATTTGTTTGCAAAACCAAATCTACCAGAATGACCAACTTTTTGCTAAATTTAAATTGGTCACGTTTAGTCATAGATTAACTGGTTCAAAGTTATTTTCTTGCCATGTTTAATAAATATTTCTGTCTAATTTGCAGGTGTTGATGGACTAAACAATACAATGCTTTTTGATATATACCATGTGGTTAAATTGGTGTGCTTTGAATTTCTTCATGTCCAGGGTTGAAGAATCCTGAACTCAAAAGTTAGAAAGCATTGTTCCGTTACTTGGGTTTCATTAACTATTGGAACTCATCTATCCTTTGGTGTATCCTGAAACCTGGAACCTCACAGGTGAAGTAAAATCATCATTCAATTAATCAGCGAGTTCCTAGACAAATTATTTTACTATAACGTTATATCCCAGCCCATCTTTTCAAAACGATTGCGGGTGTCGAATTTGGCCGGTCCGATCTCTCAGTCTACAGAACAGTGAGTCAGCCGGACACACTTCAAGGTAAACCACTTACAGTTGATGCCCAGAGTAGAGTTCTTGTCGATTTCTTCCACAATTTTATCTGAAGCTACTGTAGTTTTATGTGAAACCATGAATAAGAGAGAGGTAATTATATTTAAGGGATCCATAAAAACAATGCAAATGGATTTTTGTAAAACCCTTTGAAGATAGACACAGCTGTATCGTAATATTGATTCAAATTGATTATCCTTCGGAATTCACCTTTAGGCACAATGCTAAGTTTTTCCAGTCAATCATACACTCGGAAGCACTAGACTGCAGTTTTGCTCTTGTCAGAGCTCATCAGTAGTGCACATCGACCGTTCCAGCAGGAATTTGAACTCTGAAACCAACGATTGAATGGCGTGTGCATTACCACTGTGCCAATCAGCTCACACCATGGCTGAACCGAGTCGTCAATTCATGTTTCTTCAGGAATCATCTTCAGTCATAATCATTCATATCATTTCTGGCCCGAAAGAAATGGAAGGAGAACCAGTTGACTATTTGTTAACTCCAAACGAAAGCCTCTCACCAAATGATGTCTTCCTTGCAAGTTATGGGCTGACTTGCCACGAGTCATTACCCAGTTATCCTACAGCAATGTTCACAAGTAACCATAAATTAAATGCTAACATATCACAATAAGTACCTTGAAAGTAGTAAGTACACGGAATGCCACTTAAATATCCCGTAGTTTTATCACACACGCCCCTCGGGGTGGGGGAGGTGAGGGGGACATAGAGGTAGGGGGAAAGCCGAGTGTAGAAACGAATGGGCGGTGGCGGTAAACTGGAAATTGTCAAATCTAGTTTCACACACGGCTTGGGTGGATACAGGATATACAGTGAACGGTGAGGCAGTTTATTTCTACGTAAACCGTGNATCAATAAACGATGAATTCGTGTAGACTTACCACTAGGTTGCTTCACGCCAGCGTACAGAAAAGTTCAAACGTAGTGGTACAGAATGACGTGAACAATTGTGATACAGTCAAACCAAAATAGAAGTGAACGGTTATAATAAACAATAACAATAAAACACTGGTAAGAAGTTACTGAATAAAAAATGATCGTTCAACTTTGGTAGTCTGTCATTTGGCATTAAATATTTAGTGTAGCGCAGCCAATGAGGTTATTGTCATTTATAATCAGACTACTCAACTGTTTACAGTAGTCAAATTGCAAATACTGAAACATTCAAATTTTCTTCCGGAGAATCACTCTGACGAGGAATGTATTTCGAGGCAATTTTGTTGTAACCATTGTAAACCGAATGATGCAATTTTCACTAACAGATCCGAACGTAATTCACTTTTTAAATATTTCAAAAAGTAAAGTTTAGAAATAATAAGTGGAGAAGTTTCAATTGACAGCTATCATAAGATGTAGTATGTCGAAGAATTGACTAATACCCTTCATAAAATATGCTGAGCGAACTGTATCTATGTTGATAAACTTTAAGTGATTATCATTTTTACCGTTTTCTGACTGAGAAATGTATGTGCTGAAATCGATCAGCCCGATTTGTGCGTTAGATGTGATAAGTATATAGGTTTCTGAGCAGTTGGTAATCAATCGCTCTCGCACACTTCGAGCTTTCTTACGCTACTAGCGTTGCTTGCGTTTTCCACCATTTTCACTGAATATTGCTGAATGACTTGGGATTGAATAGAGATCACTCGTAAAGTTTGTACTTTTCAAGTTTCTTTCCTCAAATGCTAGGATTTTGCCGGCGTTTTATCATGCACTCTTGGCACCAAACTTGCTCAGTGTATATTTATTTAGGGTGCCACTTTAGTTGATAACGTCCCACAATTCACATCCGGACTGTGGGAAGGGGAGGAGACGGTAAGGGGTTGACAGTCCATCATGCATAGATATCTAGATGAAGTTGTGTCTGAATTCAGCGTGCACACATTAATATGTGTTAGAAAACAGTTAAGTGTAGTCTGGGTGGTCTTCGCTTTGGTCATGTGACTGTATTCTGTGGTCCAGATTGATGAAAGTGTAAAGAGGTTGAGCAAATCTTTTTCTGTTTTGTTAGAAAATACAGCAAACGAAAAGCAGATTCCCATTTAATGTTGTATTCCCTATGTACGTTCCCTAGGTTTAGTTCCTTGTATTTTATTTTCGGAAGGAAATGTTTAGTTTAAAACATGGTTTTCATCAAAACAATAGAAAAACAGGGAGAAAAATGTCTCTGTGATACAGTTAAGATTATCTGTTTCTTGAGCACATCGTTTTGAGATTAGCAGAGAATAGCAAATTTATAAACATCTTTATAAACATATTCCCAGTCGCATAAAAATACAATTTTAAGGGTACTAGGACACAGCAAAAGTTTCTTTGAAGCATTTTGACAGAAATTAAAACAAATTTGCAATGCTGCAAATCTGTTTACGAATAATCCCAGCCAAAGTTCTTCAGTTAAAACCCGAAACTTTGTGCATACAGTTGTTTGATAGAGACAAGCACACAATGTTTGTTGGTTTGTAATGACTTTACCAGACAGAATCTCATACTACTAAAACAGACCAATAAGATAATTCATCGGATGTCGCAGCTCGCTCGGTTTAACCGTAGCCCAAAATAACCATAACCGGAAAAGCCATAGATATTCAGCGTATGTTGTGAACGTTGAAAAGAACATATTTTTCTATTTATCTCATGAAATATAACGTTGTAGTGGGTAACATTTATTTCTCTCAATTAAAGCCAATAGTTGGAAAATACTGAACGACAACGATATGTACCAACTCCAAATCGGTGAAATTCATATTCTTTATGTTATTTAGTAAAAAGTGACTCGTATACATCTACATTCGTTTGGTAAAATTTTCCAAATAAATTCACATAGGAGTAGTTTTAAAAGCCAAATTGCTACCGGTTTCATATTTTTTCACGCCCCAAATAGAAGGAGGCTAGTAATGAACACGTTATTGTTGATTAATCACCAGGCGAATTTCAAAATAGATATCGAATGATCTAAGGTGTATATGCTGAACAAGTTAGTTATCAAAAATCCCAATAAATATCGATAATTCTGGGAGTATGACTAGAGAAAGCGAACATATTCGCTAGTGGTTAAAACCCAATATTCAGTAACTGTGTATCCGTTGTTATCTTTCTACATTCTGGAAGCGGGACTTGATTCTAGGGAACAGAATCGATTCTATTTACGGGGACCCAAAATAAATAACAATCGTGAATGAATAAAGGAAGGCTGAAACAAACTTGCCGACGGAAAGATTGCTATTTCATTAAACAGGCGAGTGAATCAATCAAATCAGTGAATATTGGCGTGATTCATCTTGCCTCAGTTGGTTCTATTCTTCATATTGGTTAAAATGTACAATGCATGAAAACCCATGAGCAACACCAGTTTACAGTTTGGTTAAAACTCGGTCACGGATGAAACGTTCACAAATACCTTGGCTTTTTTAGGAGGAAATCGAACGACAAGCAACTTCCCCTATAATATCCTTCAATCAGGAACGTACGGTCTGTGACAACAGTCGCTGAGCAAATCAAATACATCAAGGCAAATTTATAGTGATCAGAGTGTATCTATAGATTACCCACAAATCCCAGACGAGTGTTCTCTTTCGCGGGTGGATAAAGATGTACAGGTCTGACATAAAATGTTCGTTACCGCCAAACAGATTTGCTTTGAAACATCACAGGTTCAATAGGTAGATGTGGAAATATGCACGCGACTGAAGTCCTAAAGTTTTGACAATTTTTGAAAATAGAATACCTTATGTTGAGAGGGAAACTGGCCTGTTGTTATTGAATTATGCCTGTTGTTAATCATTTCGAACATACCTGAAACGCTAGGATCAATCCCATCTCCGGTAACCTGATAACGAATAATCACTTCGCGGCTGAACTGCAGATGGTGATCTGGAATCGGTCCAACAATCCAGTCGGTCTCGATTTCCCCGTTTCTATACAGACGAACAACTAATGTGGCCCAAACATTGTAGTGCAAGTGAACTTCTTCCACGCACTCGCCAGAAAAGCTCTGTGAACCAGATAAAAGTTGAAAGAAGTTGGGAATGAAAACTGATTTTTCTACCCTCTGGTTATTGCACTTATCCCATGAATCGTTTGCTTCGAGGATAATTCCTTCACATTTCAAGACAGATCAAGCAAAAGCATTTACTAAGGAAGTTAAGAAAAAAGTGTAAATACTGAGACAATAAAACGAGCATTGGTGATATCATCATCGATTTTAGCGAAACATTCAGTTGGGAAAACCATTAAAGAAATGAGATAAGATTTGATTGTTCCATTCAGCACATATATGATACATTATTGGCCATGATCCTTTGTGCCGCCGAGTAGATATCAAGCAAGACCACTCTTAGATCTGTTGGGTAGGTTTGTTAGTTGCGATTTGGAGGAAACATTTTGATGTCTCTTTGATGACACATGTGGCATAAGATAGAGAGGAGAAACACGAATTCATGAAATCAATAGTGTTAGAAAATTCATCAACGAAAACAACCTAAAGTGTAGAATGAAATGAATCTACATATGGGTGTGCACTTGGGAACCGCTTAGTATACTCGAACAGTTATCAAATCATTCAAATACTAAAAATGACTTTCGTTTTCCCCACTCACCTTAACCATTGGATCGGGGAAGGTTTGGCTAATGTTCTTCATTTTCGGAAGGAACACATATGCTCCAGATGCTTGCATCCCAGACGTTTCCCCGTAATAGTACAACATTTGCATAGTGACATTCAGTTTTGACTTCCCATCCTTGTGCAGTGCCATTATGGTAACCGGTCGTGGACCATGATCTGCTACGTGCAATCTATACGTCATTGTTTTCGATATGTAAGAAAGTTGGGAACAAGTAGGTTCATGATAAATTGGGAAACGTGGTCGCACGGTAGGTTCATTGGTTATTTTAAGGAAGTAGCTGGAAAATCCAGCTGGAGGAAGCGCAAGTCCTGTACCGGAAGCACTGAATACCAACTCCATGTTACTTGTCGATTTGAAGACTCTTCGCTCTGGGATGCTTCTTACACGCGTGGATATTGGGACGAGTTGAAATGGCATTGGAATTTGAGTACCAGTTCGCAAATCGTACAGTTTGATGTTCACCAATTCCGGTCGTAAATTGGGAACGTAGATGGGCAATCGAAACCACGAGTTTTTCACATGCCAACCGGTCGGATTGTAGATCATCACATACACCCCACCGAATCCGGTCCCATTCACATAAGGGATTTCAGCTTCCAAGGCATCACAGATACTGATATTGAGGTAAGTACAGAAGGACAGACCCTGACTAATGATGAGTTCACGGAAATTCGGCAGCAGTTTGCTCATAGCATTGACCATCACTTTTTCGCCTTCATTCACTCCATCTGATAACAGGCGAGCGTAATCATAAGCAACCGCTTGCTTTTCTGTTCCAGTGACTGCATCGTGATGTTGCATAACGCCCATAGCACGACGTAGGCGATCCACCAAGAGGTCACTTTCCCCGGAATTTTTCCAATTACTTCCGGGTGTGGCACGATCTGCAAAGAAGTGCAGCTGTATTGGGAGTTGAAGAAAGTAATTTTAAATTTGAACTCTGTAGTAAAAGTAAAATTTAAGCAATTTTAATTGTATGCATTTGAAATATTTTCAAAATTTTGTTCTGATCTATTCCAATGTCGTGGCATTAGTTAGTGACAACTGGAAAAACCTTTTATCCAAGGGAAAACGGGGCTGCTGAACTTGTCACAATTCCGATATAAGACCTTAGGCTGCCAAACCATAATATTTCCTCTTAATGAATAATTATTAAATGTTTTCTTTTCCATTTTTATTGATTATATAAATGTACCAAGGGCTTCTAGGAAGGGAGCATCTGCATGAGGAAATGCAGATAAGAGGAAGAAAGGCGGCTGTGGCGAGATTTGAACTCAGGGGCCCTGTGTGGTTGTTTCGACGACCTTACCGCTCGACCACCACCATCTAACGTACACATATTGCAAGAATGTCAAACGCTCATTCTTAAGGATGATTTTAACTGATCCTTTTATTTAGTCGACTTGAAGAGTAAAACGCCGAACGTGATGCCAATATACAGATTCAAGTTGCACGTAACCAGTCCAATGAGAAATGTGAGTAAACTCAAGCACGTCAATGTTTACGACACTCAGCATCAGAGCATCTTGTGTCTTGGTGGGCAGGTCACCAGCCACTAATCTTGAGTTAATCCATAAGAACAAGTCCTTGGTTAGGTCATAGTCAGACCACTTTTGGCAATTCTCCAAAGTTATTTTAATGCTACATAGATTAAACATTCAGCGTCGTTTAACACAAAATTCACCCGTTAGATATAGTTGTTGCCCATAAATATAGGAAAAGCCAACTTCATTCAAACGCGCGCACCTGTCAGTACTAGCTTATCAGGTGCATCACTATACGGAGTAGCATGATTAGTATATGGAGAACTCTTAAAACAACAGCACATAGTCGTTCTACTATGCGTCAGTTCAATGATATCCGTTTTATTTATTGCGCAGTGATAGATCACGAACTTCATAGCAATCACTCAAGGCCGATGCAAAGGGAAAGCAAGTCACGCATGATCATGTTGATGATATTGCACAAAATATGTAAAACACAAGTAAATTTTGAAAATAATCAGGAAGTACCGTTGTAGTTTGATTAAGAACTCAATTGATTTTTGTAAGAGCGGAGCAGGTAGAATGAAACAAAGGAGATTTTTGAGCAATATGTTTCTTTACTACAACTTTGATGGTATACTGACGATTCCTAAATGAAGCATTTGGGCACTTTCAGCTAGACCTGTGATGGATGGATGGAATGAGTACTGTACAATCATGTGACGACTGAAAACATAGCTGTCGTTCTGCACTAACAGTAGCCAAAAATATAGGGTATACGAAACGTCATTCTGACATATTTACCCATAATGAAAAACAAAACATTGAATCAATCTACTCATTATCCGACTTTTATCAAGATTGGCTCGTGTTGACTGAAAGTAACAAGCAAATCGTTCTGTACAAGCAACACGGATACTCAATTGTTCTTGGGCGAAATTTTCGGAACATTCCACTGACAATGAATGTGTGTGGACTGCCAGGCCAATAGATGAAACTTGATTCTCCGCAGTGTCCACTGTAGCCATTTCTCATTTGTTAACTGAACCATTTAATTCGAACTGAAGTTTGTATAATACACTTGCCACTTTGATGAGTTTGATAAAATCAGATGTCTTCATTATCATAATGGACGATGTATTCGAGGAATCAGATTTATTTCAATGTCGGAGGCCGACAGAAAACTACTGCCTCGAGAGTCATGTTGAGATGGGTAATTTCTCAGCATTTTATTGTATTTTGACGAATTATCACGACATTACACAGAAGATTCCACCTACAACACGCTTTGGTTTCCGCTTGATCGTTATCAGTCTGATATGTTGCTCAGTGTTGGATTATTTTGTGGTAAATATACCCAGTAAAAAAATTAATTTCATTGTATATTTCTATATGATTCTGTTTCCCATGCGTGCTTATAACCCCATTGACATTCATTGCTAACAGAACGGAGTGTAATTGGTCCATTCATCAAAATGTTTTTCCTGAACAGCTTTTTATGTCTTGTTTCGTAAACAGTAATACCTCCAAGTCCATCAGCCCTGTGTATTCCTGTGTATTCTTCACTTTGTTCGGAGTCATCCCGTTGCATATTCCCTATTCGGTTGCCCACCGAGGCAACGTACACAATCACTTATGTGTTTCATAAATTAGCGTTGTGCAAAACGAAGCATTGATAATTTGCACTTTTGGCTTCCAGTCTCATCTCCTACACAGACAAAATATATAATCTTTAGATTTGTGTTAGAACGAAGACCGCAGCAATCAGCGATCTAAGACATTGACATTTAGGGTGAGACCTGATTTATGACGTGGAACGCAATGTTCACTCACACACTATGATTTGATTATTTCAACTGACTTGAAAAGTCGCTAAAGGAGAATTGGTTATTAGTGTTCAGTTTAGTGGTATAATTATCACATTAGCAGTGTGCGACAAATTTTCACAGGTGTGCGCAAAATGTGTGTAATGTAAATACTCATATATAAATTACCTATACGTATTCCTGTTTAAGCTCATTGAGAATCACAAACGTCACAGTCTGTCCATTTGTTGATTTACCCACCGATGGTGATAGTTATGTAGTTAAGGTCGTCTCAATTTAGCTACCTGAAGGTTCCGAGTTAGAATTTCGCCAACGCCGCCTATCTTTCCATCTGGACTAGTACTGTCTTAACCTAAGAAACCCCTTGACTGGCCACAGCCTCCTTCCGGAAAAATGACTTTACTTCTGAATATATTTTGTTAACAAAATAAAAGTAAAATCGCTAGACATTAAAATATGTTACTAGTTGTAAAACTGTTTCTACTGGTCAGAAAAGAAGCTGTTTAATCCTTTCTGGGGCCCACCAACAGTGTTTATCATTATTTTATCTTTATCGCGGACCCACCAGCACACTTTAGGCTCTCTTCTGTGGGAACTCTTAACTGTAGAGTGCATGATCGACGGATATCACTCCATTTGTTCAATGAGTCCTATTATATGGGCATAACATATGCTTTAACTGCTTCCAATTTAGCTTTTTACTACCAGTCACCCGAGAAATATTTTGCCTCAAACAGATATACCCTAAAACTGGAAGAAGACACTGTCTAATGATATCGCACACCAAAATCAACCAAAGTCGTGTGAATCAGTAGCGTCGTAGATTCCACACAGGTCAGTCAATCTGATTACTACGGTATCCTGAGTAAGCATAAGATAAACATGACCGTTAGTTTGTCACATATGATGAAAAAAATAAGGTGCGGGTACACGAGTTTATCATATGCATCGACCAACATTCAAATTCATTGATGAGTGATTGACTCGTATGTGTAATGATTACAATGAACCGTATTTGCGAGGTGTGATGGCGCGAGTTAGACAAGATCACTGCCCACCAAGATGATTTAGACTATAAGGTTTGTTTAGGGTGAATTTGTCAAAAACGCCAACCCGTTTGTAACCTCCCTGCGGTTCACCGTGTAACAAAATATTCAAAAATTGGGTTAGACCAAACTATATTTAAATTGAAATTGAATCAGTGACCGTATGTATCATGGTCATTTGAGACCAAAAAATAACGGCCGAAAAATTCAGTGCTCTGATCTAACTGTGAATGGATTCTCCGTTAACACGGTCGGGAACATTCTAGTTGGTGTTGATGAATACACTCTGAACACTGAGCAGTAAGGATTACAGACTGTTTAGTGATTTAAAAACCGATCATCTAACTAATAGTGCAAGAAGTATTATCTCTAGTGGAGAAATACATTACATGTACAATTAGATGAGGAAATATAAAACAATCCATGTATAAATCAATTACGCATTGACACATTCTGGAGTTCCATTCAGTGATGTAAACTGATGGTCCGATGATCATGCAAACGTAAGCTGTCTGCCCCGAAGTTCGTAAATTCTAACTTTTATTTGTTCAATATTCCCAGAATGCATAGGTAGACTAGGAGTAAAGATAAACATCAAAGTATGGTCGGTCTGAATCAAAATCAATATAAAGTACTTATTTATTCCATTCAGCCCTCCACCCAATAGATTGTGTTACCCATTACGCTCGTCCCATTACGAACTAACACACTCGAACTTCTCATCCGCACCCGTTCCTATTTGCCCCCGATGCTCACAACTGTTCATTGTTCTTTGATCGACGCACCACCGCTCTGGTTCCATTTGACACCCCCCGCTTCACACTCACATGACTTGTCCGCATGTCTGACTGTATTACGTCTCTAGCATGTCCACGCTTTGATTTAGCTCTACACACGCAGACACACACACATATGACACACACAAGCAGACCCTGCAATTCCACACAACCGTCTGATTCCTGTTTTACGAACGCACGCACGTGAACGACAATTGCGACATTTGATCGGCCTCGATTGGTCACTGGTCCCTCAGGTGCACATGCGCGAACCTTGCCCGATTCATTGCTTGAAACGAGACGTTTGATGGTCTCGTTGATTCCGTTGTAGTGAATTAACTTCGTGGTTTTCCGGTACGCTGTTTCAACCGGATTGTCCCACAGTTTGAGGTTTGTTGCAGTAACGTACTTTGATAAACCTGTTTTGATACAAGGCATTTGGTCTTGAGGGGTTTCACGCAACACTCTACTGTGGATTATTTGCTACTGTGGAATTATTAGTACTAGCTGATGAAAATGCTCCTTGAATATTACCGACGAAAAATTCTAAACTCCTTTGCTTACAAGACACTTTCATAAATAATTTAATTTAATTTATTGATTTTTGTCTCCGGACATCAACTCTCAACGAGCACATGATCGGTTCCAGCGCCGATGTTTCAAACGAATAACTTATAAGCGTTATGGTGGAAATACCTCTTTGTGGCAGTATAATGTTACGAGAAAAAAATTCTGAAAAAGAGGGAATGGAAGAACCAAAGGGTTTCACCGGATCCAACACAAAAGTGCAAGTTATATCCTGTTGCAAATGTTTAGAGCTGAAGTAAGACCGTATGCCAAAATGAAGATCTCACCTAGTAGCTGTAAAACGTTTGACAAAAGTACAAAGTATGTTTTGAAGGAGAAAAACAAACATAAAACAGCACAGCATCAGAAATCTCATAAAATCCATCGCTATCTCAGTTGAAAGTTCATTATTTGTTTTAGGTATGGCGTTTATTGTTAAAAATACCCAGTGATATTGTTGTTTAGCGTCTAGTCAGTAGAATATGTCGCATTGTATAGTTCACTCGTACAGGATTCATTTTTAAGTCAAGAGGAAAATCGATCTATAGTATTAAAGGCATAGTCATCAGAAATAAAACACCTTTAAGTATGATTTCCAGTGAGAACTGTCCTTGAAATACACAAAAAATAATTGAACAGATAATAACTTTGTATGTACTTTTACGAGTCACGTTAAACGCCTGGGGTATCTGTTATATTTCTTCCACTTAGGGCAGGTTATGGCAGCAGTGGAGGTTGTTTTAAGGACTCCGTTGAAGTAGATTTTGGTAAGAAGCCGTTTTTTCTTTGCGTCCAGATTAAGCATCATTGGTGTTACTGTATATCACCGTCAGCTACCACAAAAGACTATCACAATTGATTTTTCAAATTACAACACAAATTCTCTCGACATTTTGTATATTTTTCCCCTAATTTTGCATCAATGAGGCTTAACTGAGTTGCTCAAACTGACTGACAAAATTGATTAAGTCAACTCACAGAACTTTAAAGGAAATACCCTATTGTACATGCAAGATGAAAACAAACTCCAGTCATTGTTTCTCGTTAGGAAAGATGAAAATGTTGCAGTATGCATAGATAATGATGAAATTTTCTACAAAAATATTTAGAACATCTTAAAATATTTCCTAACTCTTTTTATGGAATATAATAATGCAGATCTTTCAGGAAGGAGTAAACTGCAGCAACTGAAGCGCTTGCTGGGGACCCATAGGACATATGGTTTTCTTTAGTCACGAATAGTCAAATCAATTCCAGAAAAAGGTTTTAGTTAACAATTATTTAAGGCATAATTATCAGTTCGTATTGTTTATTTTACCTTCCAATGAGCACCAATTTAATCACTTAGTGTCACTATTTATGATTGTGCTGCCTTCGGTTTCCAGGATCCGATTTGTTATTTTAAATATTTTACTCGAAAACTGGAGCAATGCTGGGACGAATAGAATTCTTTAAACCTTATTTATTTATCAACTAGTGTGGACGTTAATTCTCCTCAATATGAGTCTCTAAGCTGCCATGACTTTTGTATATAATGCAACTAATTAAAATAAAGCTCAATGATAATATAATTTGATAAATATATTACATTTTGTTTATAAATCAACTCAGTTCTGATTTATTCAATTTTGGAAGAATCAAGATATTTCCAGAGAACTATAAATACCGACCTCAAAAAAACAAAAACAAATTCATGATGTGCTGCACCATGAATGTGACTTTTGCAATTCTATATTGCCTGCTCCTTACAATAAGTCTAAGAACAGAAGGAACAACATAAATGAATACTGGTTAAAGGGCGAGGAGCAGGGTAGTAGCAGAAGAAAGGTCATTCAGGGACTGGATTTCTCCTTTCAGAATCCGTTCCATCGGTAACCACAAGCAAATACCTGTCCTACTTACTACTCTGTGAAAGAATGCAACACGAAGCCCCGTGTTAATGTGCTACCGGACATAGGACCTTAAAGAGTGTTAGAATTGTTGCAGTCATGAATCAGTCTTTCATCTGCTACCATTTCTGGAACCCATTTGACAATGTCGTAGTTTTGCAAGAGAACGCTCCTTGTCACAATTTCCGTTTGGTTTGCCATTTCAAAGTTGTTACATATTGGTTTCTCACTTGTGGACAGTCTTACACCGATTTCAGTCAGTTGTCGCACGATACTTCTGATCTGAAAATTAGTTGGAACCTTACTTTCAGCAATGAAAGACATTGACGAGTGGTCATTATAGGCAAAATTGTGACGCAAATGATGAAACCACTAAAAGTGATGTACAAACTGTCAAATACACAAAGCGACATGCTCTATCAAGCAACGTAGGGCAAGTGAGTAGTAATAAAATAAGCGTTTACTATATTTTGCGTACCTGCCCGTATGAATATAATTTTGCTATTTTTAACTAGATATCAATATTCTAAGGGCTTATTTTGTTCCAACCTCTTTCAAGAGTGACTATTCATATGTTAATGAGACATTTAAACAGTATAGATGGCGGAACAGGTGGGTTACAATATGCCCATGTTGTTTCTGGTGTAAGTATAACTAACTATAGCTATAACTGTAACTATAGCCATTCCGTTGCACGTGGCTTAAAACGCCAAGCCTTGAAAGAAGGAAGATTGATAAAGGTGTTGGTCTCTCACGAGTCTGATCAAAGTGTTTGCATGACAGCTAATAAATTAGTTTAATCAGACTGGAATAATAACCAACTGTAGGGCAATAGGGGTGAAAAGATTAGATAGAAACATCAGCCATCAAGAAGGACAATGTTTTCGAAAAAATCCGACCCCAGGAAATAGCAATTTGTTTCGTAGACTCAAGCTGCGGTAAGCAGTGGGTTAACACACATTTGGTATACGTGATTAGCGCATAGGGTTTTGCAATCTTTGAGACTTACTTAGAGATAAATTGTACGGGAAGTTTTCCGTTCCATTGGTGTTATAATCATCGACGTCATAAGAGTTACAACTTGCCATTGTTATCGTAATTGTTTTTGTAAAGTCTGCCGTCAAGTGGTGGATCGTGTTGGGATCACATTACCCCGTCCTCTACAGCTGATGAGGATGAATTAGGTGTTCCAACTTATTGCCTATGGTGGTTTAGAAAGGGAATTTCATCCGGTGCTTATCTGAGAGAGCCACCAAACTCTACCTGGGTGGTGCCATACAGCACATACCAGCACGTACCACACAGGTTTTCTGGGTTCCTGTATACACCGAACTGTTCAATCTGGAGAACAAAATGATTAATTATCCCAAGCCAGTGCCAATCTGTGAGAAAAAATCCGTTTGCCTCTCGATGTCATTCAGAGGTGACATAAGAATGAACCTAGTAGGAAAATGACGAAAATCTACTGTTAGAAAAACTGGTCTTTTTGTATCCGGGTCTCTCACCCTATTCTAATCTCGATAGTAGTTATTTTGAACGCACAATGATAGACTGTGACTTTATTACTCGTGACACACTTCACTCATCTGTTTGAGGTAAACCAAGTAAGTTGAATCACGGGACCTCTATTCAGCCACATACCAGAACACACAAGTAGATGGAAACAAGTAATAATGACAGCGATCATGTCTGCTTTCATTATATCTGGCTTTGAGATCAGTGTGAATGGGACTTGCTCACCTGCAGTATTATCAATAAAAGAACAGTAAGGGTTCAGCCAAATGATTGAGATAAGTCCATCTGCGGAGGAATCCCGCTAATGAAGATCGTAAAAAAATACCCTTGAGAGAAACCAGTTGGATTAGGTTTAATGAATCCAAACGTCACAATATCCATCACCATACTAAGGTTATCATCGTAATATATTTCACTCTTGATCACACATTGGACTTTGACGACCGAAGCATAAACAAATGTCTATGTGAAACTGTTGGTTCAAATATTTGTAGGTGGTGGTGATGCCAACCGATTGAAAACTGTCTGGCATCACTGTTGTAGTACCATTGTGTTTCTCTCGGGGAGTATCCGCGGAAAGTGGTCATCTCGTCAGAGCGAACTAATCATCTTGGTCAGACCGAATTTTGTCTATCGATTTCCCCAAGAGCACAAACTCATTTGGAGCAAACACGACAACCCTGGGATATACTCACAAGCCAACAAAATTTGAGCTTAGTTAAATGCCAAAGACAATTAGTGGAACAAGCTTTGATGGCAAGTGTCAAATGTCGCACTTGAAAAGTGTTCGCTAACAATATCGGCCAACCAGTTGTTTCAGAACAGAGCTCTGGTAATGTTTATGAAAGCTGAATAATGAGGAAATATGCGTATGCCGTTCGCCATCAGTTCTTTCCGATAGCCACAGACGCATAATTGGCGTTTCACCTCATCAATACCAAGGTTGCTTGATTAACTCATTATATCCTCTGCACATTTCAAGCCAGGTCAATTGAGCAAGCTCCCATACATTTGGTGGGAACCGTTAGGTAAGATGTTCCATGCCATACGTCGCTAGTTCCAGACCTGTTGCACAAGTGGTGAAAATACTTTCAGAAAAGTCCTGCTTCAAATCAATTCCCAGAATGAAAAACACGTGAAAGAATCTGGAGGCATGCCCGAAAGACAACGCGGGAAAAAGTTGACAACAAATTTATTTGTGATGAAATAAATGGTTACCAAATGTTCTCACTACATCTTAGTTCTAAAGCGACAGACATCGCTAGAGTACATCTGAAAGGTTAATGGGCACTGACAACTTGTATTTGTGTTCAACCACCTTTGCACTTCTTTTTTTCTGAATCTCCACCCGCAGAGTGAGCATCCTCAACGAGCGAAACCAATTAATCAACCCAAAAGATGTTTACTCTTTAGAGGGAGCCCTTTAGCACCGTGAATAAACCTCAGGAAATCATAATTGAAATTACGTGTAAGAACATCATTGTTGGATGTAATCGAATAAGCCACAGTGAATAACTAGTGTCTGCCTGGAAAAAAAGAAAGAATTAATAATTTTCTATTATTGACTGATAATGTATGTACGAAATGTATGTACAAAAGAGTAGGCGGCGTCCATGTGTTGGGTCGAATCCCACCAAGTCTACTTAACGTTTCACTTTTGGCGGTGGTAACCAAGTGGTTGGGTCACTAACTTGTGACTCGGGTGTCGCGAGTTCAAAGCACTCCACCGCCGCCCGTCTCCTCTATTTCTATATTTTCCGAGGCAGCCTTTGTATGGCCACGACCCCTTCTTGAATGTCGACTGAACATTTGCATATTCAACAAATGAAAAAGGAAGAAAAAAGACTAAGAAATCCCTACATAACAACTTCAATATGCCAAACAATAATATGTACGGTATTGTCCATCCGATAAATAGCAGATCTGTCTTGATAGATTTTTTTCTGCTTGAAGCACCTATCTGTGAATAGATGAAATCACTAGCCAGTATATACCCTTAGCAACTGAGTGTAAACATCAGATATTCTATTATTACGGTAGGGAAAGCAATTACTCACTGAATACGAAGACGCAAAAATAAACAGCATGTTTTGTGGTCTGTTTTCATAAGCTACATAAATAAGGAAATAAGCGCAATTGTTTGCGTGGCGATGTTATTTTTAGTGTGATTAAAAAAGCTGTACAGAAGATAAAGTTTACCGCACGGAAAAATACGGCATCATGATGACATCACAATTCAAGGAAATGTTTAATCAGGAATAAGGATAGCGAAAATTTGCCTCAGGAAAGAGAAGAGAACAATAACTTATCCATCCTTTAGGTTTGTTACCATGTAAGCGTGACCGTAACCGAACTGTACATTTCGATCAGGCGAGTGTTTTTGTACTATAAATTATAGCCATGAATTGGATTACAAACCACCAGCCAACCATTTTTGATATTTAGACTTAGCTACATATGGGAAGGTCTTCATTGCAGAGTAATTTTAGTTATGTACTTCAATAACCATACTACGTTGCAGTAAAGCTGATCACAAGAAACCGTCAGTGAAATTGCCATAGACCCAATTCCTTTTGTCACCCACAAATCGACACCATCTTTAGTTACACGGACCCTGTTCAAACGTATTCTCCGTTTACAGAGATGTGCGTCTAATTTGGTTTACGTTTTCCCACGGTTACTGTTGATTTGATCACCATGCTTTCCGATGCTTGATGAAAAAATGTCACAAGAATATTTTTGATATGTCCTTAGAACTTCCAGAATTGGATAGTGCCCTAAACATTATACTTCAATTTTAACGGCTCTGGAATCTGAGCATAAGGGGTTATCAAACAAACACGGTAATCTCAAAGGTGAATTCGTTGTGAATGTAGCAAATGAAGCGTGAACTGAAAAGCTGGGAAGCACTAGACAGCACTGCTGATGAGACCGTACCAGGTCGAAACAGCTGTCCAGTGCTTCCCAGCTTTTCAGTTCACGCTTGATTTGCTATATACACGACTAATTCACCTTTGCAATTGAATCAAATCCTCCATTACTCACTTGGAAACACGGTAATCACTCAAGCTTTCCGGTTTGACATTCAGGTGTTTACTTAAGATTCCCAACAAGCATAACGAAAAGCTTCTCTGTGCTTTAAGACCATTCAGCAATGAACCTTATTACTACTACCTTAATTAAAATCTGTTAATTGTACCGATTCGTCTTCTATGTAGCAAGGTTTCCAGGTAAAAAACACAAGCACTTCTGAAAAATAAGATTTCCATGTTTTCCTTTGCGTTCTTGGGGCATTCTCAATGGAGAATAGATACAGGCATGAACGTATGGAGCCTTAGACCCCGGTAGTGCAATTTTAACTGCAATACTGAAACGACCATTCATCTAGCCACAGCTCCTTGATAAACGCATGGAAGGCAACACCACACGCTTATGAATAAACAAGACTGCTCCGGTTCATTGGAACGAAATACCGTACATTATGCGGGAACGCCCGATAGTCTGGTCGGGGTCGCGTGCTAGCAGGTAAACACACAGAATGGCCACAAAACTGCAAACCGAGGTCGACGGTTTTGTTCAGTTTGGATCGGGTTTACATGCATTGCGGTCGATAGCACAACTTCATCAGAATACATGGCTGAACCGATGTTGTGATAGACGGTCAAATCAATTATCGTTGTCGAATGAACGATTTAATCGGGAAAAAGGTATGGTAAATATATCTGCTGTCATTTATTCTCTATAGTTAACCGTTATCGACGCAACGGAAAATGGTTTAAAAACACTGGATACCAATTCATCCTTAATTAGTATGTTGTAGTTGTCATGCGCGTTTAACAGGTCACTGGCCACTGAGAGACCTTGAAGGCCATGAGTAGCTGATTCAATATCGCTAGAAACCATCATAGTCATTGGCAATATTGGAAGGTGCCGGTTGAGTATACCTCCATAAACAGAATAAAACTGATGCAACAAATCGTCAAATTTTGAAAGTTTTCGATCGCGTCATAATCCCGTAGGCTAGTGCTGAGATAATCGAGGACCAGATACTCGCAACAAGCTCGCGTAGATGAGTTGTGCTACACAGTCTATATTCAAAACGAGAAACGGTCTGATCAGCTGCCCAGTGGCCGACTGGGTAGAATACCTGCCTTCTACTTGCGAGGTCCAGGGTTCGATATCCAGTTGGGTCGATGGATTGACACTGCTGATAAGATCCAACCGGATCAAAACAGCTGTCCAGTTCATCCCAGCTTTTCAGCATACGTCTCATTTGCAAGAAGAATTCATGATAAAAGATGAATTTCCCCAACTGTTTGCATCATCTTAGTCTGACAACAATGCTGAGCATCAAAAATATTTGCCTCCAATGGAACTCGTATTTAGTCCTACAAGATTCGCTGGTTCGATGGATGGTTTGCAGGAATTTCGCTACTTCAATTGCTCTCTTTACCAGATCCTATTCCTACTCAGCTACCTCTTCATCGACGTTGTTCCTTTTACCAACTTTCTAAAACTTGACATTTTACATTCCCAGCTGGTTTTTAATGTTGTCTTATTTTCACAATTATAT